AATTCAATAAAGACAGAAGCAGTGGTCTCCTGATCTGGGCATGAGCCTGAGTCTCAGAACCAAGACTAATTTTGTGAAAAAATAAACAGAGCAACAAGTGGCAATATCAGAATTCGAAACACTTTACAGGGAAGCTATTGATGTTAACACTCTGGTAGAATGAGCTTTAAAACTTCCCATAATCTCCCTTGTACAAATAATTTGTCATAACAAACTTGACTATAGGCAATACTAAATCCACTTGGATGGCTTGTGAGCATAGATCATCTCTCCTTGGACTTTTTCTTAGAGTCCACAAACAGACTTTCTGAAGCTAGCTTCCCTGGCAGAGTGTGAGGCTTAGGAAAAAAGGTAGGCAAAGAAATTAACTAATTTAGGTTAAATTTTATCCCATCTTGGTCAGAAATACACGGTGAATAACCACTTTATCTTCATTAAACATAGTCTATCTAGGTTCTTGTCCCCTAGATTGTAAACTCCTTTGGGTAGAGCTATCTTTTCGTTCTCTTTGGACAGCACCTGGCATAACGGGGTCCTGGTCCATGATTGCAGCCCCTTGGTGCTACCACAATACAAATAAATTAGTAATAATAAAACTGTGTCCATCACTGTATTATCTGATCTCAGTATAAGGAGCCATCCGGGCTTGCAACTTGCTTAACCACTTTGCAGAAGTAGTAGAAACCATGCCACTTTAATTGAAAAGTAATGCGAAGTAATACACTCAGCAATGTAAATGGTGTTTCCATGAGCCTACTTAGAATCAGATCCCAATCCCAAGACACCACTGGCAGATCCAGTAACTTTCTCAGAAGTTTTACCATAGGATGTAGAAGAAGGAAAGAGATTTGAATAGGATGGTGGTGGCAAGTACACCATCCAAATGTACTCTTCTCTGGGGATGTCCCCTAGGCTTGGGACCAGCAGGGAGGCTGGCGTCTAACTACTATGGATTCCCCTTACACAGGGAAATCCTCTGGGAGTGTATTAAGCCAGCCTTAATGCACCAGTGGGACAGTGCAAAGGAGCTGCAGCAGACTTGAGAAACAGACCTATACACTGCTTGGTCATTTTTATTGCTACAACAAAAGCATCCTAGACCTTTTGGCATCTTCTAATCTCCCGAAGGCTATAGTTTGATTATGATCTACAGCAGGGATCGGCAACCTTTGGCATGTGGCCCGTCAGGGAAATCCGCTGGAGGGCCGGGACAGTTTGTTTACCTGCAGTGTCCACAGGTTTGGCCGATCGCAGCTCCCACTGGCCGTAGTTCGCCATTCCAGGCCAATTTGGAGTGTGGGAAGCGGCGGCCAGCACATCCTCAGCCCGCGCCACTTCCCGCAGCCCCCACTGGCCTGGAACGGCAAACCGAAGCCAGTGGGAGCAGCGATTAGCCAAACCTGCAGACGCTGAAGGTAAACAAACCATCCCAGCCCGCCAGCAGATTTCCCTGATGGGCCACGTGCCAAAGGTTGCAGTTTTCTTCATTTAAGTGTAATGAACAGAGGACAGAATATACAAGTTTCCAACATACTGTTTATATTTTAGTAATCTATTTATAACATGCTTGAATAGGCTAAACACAATAATTGCTTTCATAATTTCTGTGCATGCCAACTGTCAAGAAATGTCTATTAGCAAACCAAATATATTTAACAGTATTTCCTCTGGTAAGTATCTGCTGGGTATTCGAAAATACACATATCCTGTACACTAGTGGGTAAAAGTCAAAGCAACGGCATGCATGACTCATCATTGCATATCCCCTGAGCATCATCATGTTAAATGATGGCTATTATTTGATTTCAAATGGTGTTTTATTTACACCCCTTTGAGTCCACTAATAGTCTTGTCATTGGACATATTGGCCCTTTGCCAGCAAAATCAAAATTCAACAACTACTAGTTATTAGGCATGTGTTTATAAGTATTTTACATTTGTTTGTAGGAAAATACTAAAAAGTTGAAAAACATTAAGAGGCTTGTCATAAATATAAAGGGAAGGGGAAACCCCTTTAAAATCCCTCCTGGCCAGGGAAAAGCTCCTCTCACCTGTAAAGGGTTAAGAAGCTAAAGGTAACCTCACTGGCACCTGACCAAAATGACCAATGAGGAGACAAGATACTTTCAAAAGCTGGGAGGAGGGAGAGAAACAAAGGGTCTGTGTGTCTGTCTATATTCTGTCTTTGCCGGGGATAGACCAGGAATGGAGTCTTAGAACTTTTAGTAAGTAATCTAGCTAGGTACATGTTAGATTATGATTTCTTTAAATGGCTGAGAAAAGAACTGTGCTGAATAGAATAACTATTTCTGTCTGTGTATCTTTTTTGTAACTTAAGGTTTTGCCTAGATGGGTTCTCTATGTTTTGAATCTAATTACCCTGTAAGGTATCTACCATCCTGATTTTACAGGGGGGATTTCTTTATTTCTATTTACTTCTATTTTTATTAAAAGTCTTCTTGTAAGAAAACTGAATGCTTTTTCATTATTCTCAGATCCAAGGGTTTGGGTCTGTGGTCACCTATGCAAATTGGTGAGGCTTTTTATCCAACATTTTCCAGGAAAGGGGGGGTGCAAGTGTTGGGAGGATTGTTCATTGTTCTTAAGATCCAAGGGTCTGGGTCTGTAGTCACCTAGGCAGATTGGTGAGGCTTTTTACCAAACCTTGTCCAGGAAGTGGGGTGCAAGGTTTTGGGAAGTATTTTGGGGGGAAAGACGTGTCCAAACAACTCTTCCCCAGTAACCAGTATTAGTTTGGTGGTGGTAGCGGCCAATCCAAGGACAAAGAGTGGAATATTTTGTACCTTGGGGAAGTTTTGACCTAAGCTGGTAAAGATAAGCTTAGGAGGTTTTTCATGCAGGTCCCCACATCTGTACCCTAGAGTTCAGAGTGGGGGAGGAACCTTGACAAGGCTATTGTTATCAATCATGAATCCTGCACTAATCTTGGAGAGGCCTGACTCATCAAAAAATATTTATGCACTTCTGACTCATGCAAGCCCAGGAAAGTTGCTGGTTACTTTCAGGGGTGGCAGGTTTGTATAATTTTTGGTGGTGTCCAGAACGGGTCCAAGTCCCACCCCCTCCCTATACCTGCCTGGAAAGCTGATATATATATTTTAAAATAATGTAAAAATGGACTGAAAACAGTACAGTTTCCCTTTATTGCACAATGTGGGGAGGTATGGGGGGATGCGGGCTCTGGCTGGGGGTGAGGGGTTTGGGGTGTGGGAGGGGGCTCAGGGCTAAGGCAGAGGGTTGGGGTGCAGGGTGAGGGCTGTGGGATGGGGCTGGGGATGAGGGGTTCACGGTGCAGGAGGGGGCTCAGAGTTGGGGCAGAGGGTTAGGGTGCGGGGGGGGGTGAGGGCTCTGGCTGGGGGTGAAGGATCTGGGGGTGGGCTGGGGCTGAGGAATTTGGGGTACAGGCAGGCTGCCCCAGGGCTGGGGACAGAGAGGAGGACTCCATAGTCCCCCCAGCCCTCTCCCACCTGGCAGCAGCAAGCTCTGGGGGAGGGGCCCCCCTTTTCCCCCTGGCAGCACACTCACCTGGCACCATCACTTCACGTGCTCCTAGGGGCCAGGCCCCTCTCAGGCCCAGGAAGCCCCCTTGCCTCCCCTGTGGTGGGTTTCAGGGGAAGAGCTGCCATTATGTGTGCGCCTCCTCTGGCAGCAGCTGCGCCGCCGCCTCAGCCCACCGCCGGTGCTGCTCTCCCTTTTGTCGCCGGCAGTGGCCAGTGAGGGAGCTCAGCGCGGAGCAGCAGGGCAGCCGCCCGCAGCCCAGGGTGCAGGTAGAGACTCTCCAGGAGCGGGCCAAAGTAGAGGGGAGAGAGCCCAGGTTAGGACTGGGAGTGTGAAGGCATTAAAGGGCACTAGAGAAGACAGGCAACCAACAGTCCAGACAGCAAGGTGTCTACACTATGGCTCTAGCACTGGTACAACTGACAGGTGGTAGCTCCTTGGAGTGGGGAGGGGGTTAGCTTCCCCCCTACTGCAGAGGAAGGAGAGATGGGGGAGGGGACTAGCTTTAAGGTGGTGAGAAAGTAAGAGACTGGGGGGAGGCAGGGAGTAAAGATCCCCTATTGCAAGGGAGGAGGCAGATGAGGGAGAGGGAATTGCTACTCCCAGTGGAGGTGTAGGGGCAGAGATGGAGGGGTGAAGAGATGGGACAATGGCACTATTCATCCCTTCTGTAGGGGTGGGGTGGGGTGGGGAAGGGGAAGGCCCAAGAGGAGGATGTGCCTTTGGGGAAAGAGGGATGTCTGGCTTTGCCTTCTCCAGAGGAAGGAGAGACAGGAGGGGTGTCCCAGTGGCTGGACTGGGAAGTGTGTGATGAAGGACAGGAGTGTGGGGGTTGGGATGGAGGTGAGTTCCTGTGGTTACAGGCAGTTCCAGGGAGAGTGGAGACCCTAGAAAGCAGTGTAACCAGCTAGGGGGACAGTGTGGTCCCGAGGGATGGGGGGAATAGGGAGCACTAAGGTCTATGCAGGGGAGGAGCAGCAGGTGGGAGGCCCGGGTGAGATCAGGGTGCAGCAGGGTGTGTCCAAGGTGTGTTGTGGAGACTGGAGGGCGAAGGGGACGCCCGGGTATGGGGTGTGGTGCAGGGGAGGCACAGGAATGATCGGGAAAGGGTAGGGGGCAGGATGGAGGTCCCAGGCGTGGTGCTAGGGTGGCGGGGGGATGGGCGGGGAGGAAGGGGGTCCCAGGGCAGCAGGGGGAGGCAGAGGCGGGATCCTGGGGGTGGAATGGGGATGGGCGGGGAGGCAGGGGCGGGCACAGGGTCCCGGGGCAGCACGGGAATGGGCGAGGAGGCAGGTGGTCCTGGGGCAGCACGGGGAGGTAGGGGCAGGGTCCTGGCGCTGGGCGAGGAGGAGGCAGGGGTGGGGTCCCGGGGCGGCTCGGGGATGGGCGGGGAGACAGGAGCGCGGTCCGGGGCGGCGCGGGGATGGGCGGGGAGGCAGAGGCGCTGGAAGGAGGCCGGGAGCGAGGCGAGCCGCCCGTACCTGAACCGCTCCTGCCCCGCCGTGTCCCACAGCTGCAGCTTGACCCGCTTGCCGGGCTCGATCTCCACCAGGCGGGAGAAGAAGTCCACCCCCACGGTGGGGTCGCAGTGCAGCGGCCCCGGGAAGCGGCCCTCGGTGAAGCGGTGCAGGAGGCAGGACTTGCCCACGGTGGAGTCGCCCAGCACGATCAGCCGGAACTGATAGATCCAGATCGCTGCGTCCATGGCGGCCCCGGCCTGGCCCGGCTCGGCCTCGGGGCCCTTCCTGGGGCTCCTCCTCGGCCGGTGCCTGCACCGCGCTCCCACCGCCCCTATCCCGGGCATCGGCGCTGCAGGCCGGCTGCGGGGGAGGGGACGGCTCGGACCCGAGCAGCTGCACCCTGTGATGCCAGGGAGGGGCGGGGCCCCCTGGCTCCTGGTGGTGATGGGGAAGGGTTGGGGTCTCGCCGATCCCCATGGGCAAAGGGAAGGGTTGGGGGTCCCCCCCGGCCGCCGTGGTGCAGAGGGGAGGGTTGGGGTCCTGCTAAGGGGGAGGGGGTGTCCCACGGACCCCGTGATGCAGGGGGGAGGGCTGATTGTACTCCTGGGGGATTGGAGGCGGTACAGGTAGGGGAGGGAGGGTGCTGTCCCTTCAGCACCTGTTCTGCTCAGGTTGAGCTGAACAGGTCAGCCTGAGCCATTCATTGCATCACACACCCTGTGTCTTCCCTGCAGAGTTAACTCATGCTCTTCTTGGGATGTCACCCCATCACTCCTCCCTCCCCCCATCCTCTCACCCCCGTGTGGTGGTGCTAGCTGGCCCTGCTGGGGGTTTACCCAATCACTTTGCAGTGAGGAGGCAGGCTAAGCCCCTCTCAGGACTCCAGTGCCTTCCCACAATTCCCTCCATGTGCCTCAAAGGACAGACAAGATCTCCACAATTCACTGGGAAAGACTCATAGAGTGGCTTAGCTTACTGCAGTATAACCAACTGCGGTATGTCCCTGCACAGGTCCTAGTGACACACGTGGGAGCCCAACCCCAAAGAGGACATAGTGACTCAGACGTGGTGTTGCAATGTGGTGGTTCATCCCCCAGCTAGGCTACTCTGGGTGCTAAGACCTGGGTGCCAATTACCCAGGCTCCCTGCGGCGAAGACATTTCCTTGAAGCAAGAGTTTCCCCTCCATCCCCAAACTCCAATTCACACATGCTAGGCCCTATTCCCCTATACAACAGCTTGTAACAACTCACAACAGATCCAACAAGGGCTGCAAGATGGGTGGATAGGGGGGCAAATTAGAGAGGCAGTGGTGGGGGGGGGTGTACAAGCTAGGCACTGAAAAGGATGAGCAGGGAGTTGGGGTATGATGCGGGATAGACAATGGACTGTGGGGCATGAGATGGGCAAGGGAAGGTGTGAGCAGGGCTGAGAAAAAAGGGTGTGTTGCAAAGTAAAGGTGGGTGCAATAAAGGGTGATGGGCAAGGATGGTAGAAAGAAGCATGAGATATGAAGAGGAAGGGAGGGAGATGAGTAAGGAGTTGCAGAAGGAGTGAAGGATGTAAGATTGAGATGCTGTGCAAGAGTGGGAGTAGAGCTGGGTGACATTTTTTTTGTCAAATAGTTTATTCACTGAAAAATGTAGTTTTGGGGTGATCAAAACTCGCTATGAATTTGGGTCCACTTTGGGCAATGGTTGTGACCAAATAACAAATGAAAAAAATAAATAATTGAAAGCCAAAACAGTTTGTTTTGACATTTTCAAAATGAAATGCTTTGACCTTTTGCTTCAAAACAATGCTTTGTTTCAAAATTTAGCTAGATTTATTTAAATGTTTTTTTTAAAGTGGTAATCACCCAAAAATGTAACAAATTAAAAAACTGAAAAAATGTTTTACGTCAAATAAATGTTTTGTTTGACTCAAAATTATTATTGCAATTAATTATTATTATTTATTCATTGTATTTCACTTTGGTGAGAAAACCCCCAAAATTTCCATTTCAGTTTGTCCCAAAAAAATTTGGGAAGGATTTTTCACTTCAGCCGCTGAACTGAAAAATCAATTACTTGCTGAGCTCTAGGTGGGAGACAGACAAGGAAGGGTGTGAGACTGATGTGGAGAGCTGTGAGCTAGGAAAGGAACACTAGACAGTCAAGGAGAAGCATGGGTGGGCGAGAGTGCAAGATAGTGAAGAGTGAGGCCTGGAAAAGGGATAGGAAGGCATGGGATGAGTCATATAAAGAGGGACTGAGGAGAGAGTCATGTAAGACGAGTTGAAAAAGAGCATGAAATGGGTGTTGAGAGAGCGAAATAAGGAAAATGTGGAACTTGGGTGGCAGCTTAAAATAAAATGGTTACTTGAGAAGCAGCAGCTGGAGGATTTGGCTTTTGCAACTGAGTGAGACTTCAGTGGCTCCTAGGTGGCCCTATGTCATGTTCCATCCAGTGGTGTGTGATGGGTTGGGTCACAGAAACCCCCTTGGGACTGCCACCTGATGTGCTGAGACTATCTATAAGCCCATTTTCCCTGGAAGCTTGGGACTCAATACCTTGCCTGGCTGTGCCAGAAATGCTAGCCTGCTACAAACACAGTCCCAGGTCGGAACCATATCCCCCAAAAGCTGCAGGCTTAACGGAAAATAGCTTAAGAAGTGCTCCTGTCTCCAACACCCAGATACCCAGTTCCCAATGGGATCCAAACCCCAAATGAATCCATTTTACTCTGTATAAAGCTTATACAGGGTAAACTCATAAATTGTTCGCCCTCTATAACACTGATAGAGAGATATGCACAGCTGTTTGCTCCCCCAAGTATTAATACTTGCTCTGGGTTAATTAATAAGTAAAAAGTGATTTTATTAAATATAAAAAGTAGGATTTAAGTGGTTCCAAGTAATAACAGACTGAACAAAGTAAATTCCCAAACAAAATAAAATAAAACAAGCAAGTCTAAGCCTAATACAGTAGGAAACTAAATGCAGGTAAATCTCACCCTCAGAGATGTTCCAATAAGCTTCTTTCACAGACTAGACTCCTTCCTAGTCTGGGTCCAGCAATCACTCACACCCAGGTAGTTACTGTCCTTTGTTCCAGTTTCTTTCAGGCATCTCTTTGGGGTGGAGAGGCTATCTCTTGAGCCAGCTGAAGACAAAATGGAGGGGTTTCCAGGGGTTTATATAGTCTTTCTCTTGTCCCACCTCACAGCCACAAGATGGGGTCTCTAGCCACCTAGGCAAATCACATGTCTATGAATGATTCAGCTTTTTGCAGGCCAACATCATTGTTTACATGTTAGTTTGAATGTTCCCAGTAATGCTCAGATGTGGATTGACGTCTCCAAAGTCCATTGTTAGATAAGTACTCCCAATTACTTGAATAACCCCTTCACACTATGTTGACCAAATCTGCCTTTTGTGCTTCCTACAGCAAACACTTTAAACACAAGCCCAACTCTCATAACTTCAGATATAAAAATGATACATGCATACAAATAGGATGAATATATTCAGTAGAACATAAACTTTGCAAAGGTATGTTACATGGCATATCTAGCATAAAACATATTCCAGTTATGTCACATTTACACTCATAAGCATATTTCTATAAAGAATTATGGGGTGCAACGTCACATGGTGGTTAAGAAAAAGTTGATGTTCTATCCGAAGTTTCTTCTCCTTTCACCTTACAGTTAGGCTCCCATCAGTTCCTTTGTCCATGGCATTTTCCATGGAATTAACCCTATGCTGCAGAAACAACTAGTCACTTTTAGAAGACATGATTGTCAACTTTGGGGCCAAACCTCATTTTGCGTGCAATTGCTGCTATTAGCTCAATAAATATCTGTATATAATCTGCCCCTTTCCAGAAGGTTAGGACGAAGAGCTTAGTCTCTATGGGAAGAAAACTGGGCTATGATATGTCAACAATGTCACACTAATGTCTTCATCCGTTCCCTGCTAACTCTAAATAAAAATCTTAAATATATTATACTGTTGGATTCCAGCAAAATTCTACTCAACTAAAGTAACAGAGTGCAAAATGTTGGAGGTGTCAACACTCCCCAGCTTCTCTATCACATATACTCTGGTCCTATGACAAAATTATCCTGAATTACTCTATGACACAGCCTCTACAGTCTTACTGCTTTTAACATCCTCATCACACCATGGAATAAACTGTGTATATTAGAGATAGGTGAAAATACCCCTATTTCAGTGTGTCTTAAAAAAATCTTCACCGGTGATGACCCTCTTTAAAATAATTCCTTAATAACAATGGAAAGATGATCGAGCCCCATTTCTTTAAGCACATAAGTGTTGAAGGGAGCGCCTTCTATCAACATGGATGTTATCTTCTCAAGACAACCTGGATAGTTTTTCTCTGCCTACGAGTGTCAATAAAATATCATGTTGTGATCAACCTGCTGCACTATAGATTCTTCATTTTTCAAGCCCCAGGAATACCTCAGTTGTACATAATTGGTCAACAGGAGAGAAGGCACGCCTCAGATCACTGTCCTGTCCAAAAAGTCAAAATGGATGGAAATCCTTAAAAAAGGGTTTGTTGCAGAAAGGGAACTTGTTTAGATGGATCTTGCAGCAGCTACTGCCACCTCAAAGCTGGGACAGGGAGGTGAGGAGCAGGCAGTGTGACAGCTGGAATGAATAGGCTGGATGAGAACCAGAAAGCTGAGTTTGGAAGTAGCCAGTTGCTACTTTATTATTGTTTCTCTTATTCTAATAAAGTTCCTTGTTCAGTATTAAAAGAAAATTTATTTTTTTTACCCTTGTCATATGACATAGGGTAAACTGGAAGTGGAGGACAGCAGGGGAGGCAGAAACTGGAGAAAGGACAGGAGTGATGAGTCATTTCAGAGTGTGGAGGGGCATTAGGTTTGATAATAATAAGAAAAATAGGGTATTCATGGAAGAGAGGAAGAGAGATTTTCCAGAAGAAAAGAGCATGGAGGAGACAAAAATGAAGAAAACACAGAGAAAAATATAAAGGGAAAAAATAATCTTGTGAGGAATATATAATTGAAATATATATACAGATAGAATAGAGATAGAAATAGATATAATAGAAATAAAAATATACAGAAGGAAGGAAAATGTCCATTCTAAGGGACAGCTCCTCAACCTTATGAACAAGAAAAGCAAAGAACTAACAAAAGGTAGGAGACATGGTACTTATTTTATTTTATTTTATTTGAAGTTTTCTGTTTTATATATGCTACATTCATAACAATTATTTATGAAAAATAGTATTATGGAAAGCATTTTGGTTTCTTTTCCATATTATGAGTATATTGGCACACCTTCTGTACATTTTATCTACATTTTGAGTAGAATGCTGGACACTGACATAACCTCAAGCTTTTTGGAGACCACAGCCTGTTCCCCATAGAAATGGAGCATGAGGGAAAAATGTATAAAGGCATCTGCCCTGCCTAAATGGTGTTTGTAGGATAATTAATAAATAAATGCATAAATAAATACATAAATAAAATAATAATAATTAACAATAATAAAAGTTAGCTTCAGTTTGG